TATTGTTTTAATAACATTTAAACTACGTTTTTTCTTTTATAGACATCTCAGAAGAAAATGAAATTACTCAGACAAAACAATGGGACCACTGACGCATATTTTATTCAAAATTTACATAATTTTATAAAAGAGGCTTTCCAAGAATTAATTTACATTGAAAATGTTAATATACGTTGAATTAAACTAAACGCGATTAACAAAATTAATAAAGTTTAAAATGTCAAAAACATCTGTTAAAGTATGAATAGACAAATTAAATTAATATGAATTAAAATCATTATTTTAGTTGTTTTTTGATTGAGAGCAAAATTAATAGGACGCCTCTAGAAAATATCCGATATAAAATGTATCGCCATTTCTCTACTCTCTGTTATATTTCGAATTTGAGAGCGTTGGTAACGCAATTGATCGGATGTCCGGACCGGACCGAGATCTACAAGTCAAGGCCTTGTTCCAATATGTTTTTTTTATATTTTCGATTTTCATATTTACGTTTATCCGATGTTCTTATGATGGAGGAAAATATTTTGATACAACCTTCAAAGATCTGCGAAGTAATTCAAACATAGGATTGAAGTCAACCAACCCACGGAGGTCTTGCGTGGTGCACTATGGCCACCTCTAATTTTGGTAGATCCAGAGCTTTTTAGGGGACCTGACGGCAACCTTAACATTTAAGTAACTGAGATAAAATCATGTTTCCAATTAAGTATTAAGATTTTTAAAATCATTTAGTTGGACTAAATATATTTAAAGAATCGCTAGAATCGGAATTTTCTATTTGTTTTATTTTTTACTCGTAAAAGCATATCAAATTTGCTCCAATGTGGATGAAAATTATTTATTAGCATTGGAAACTTTCGGCTCGTATTTATAGGTTAACTATAACCTAATATAACAAAGTTTTGTGCTATAAAGTTTTCAAATTACGGCGACTGCTAAACATACTATAATTAATATAAACATTAACGATGTAATCCCCTATTATGTTATTTACATACAAACGGATTCATGGTCTTCAGATGCGTACAACATAAATTCAATTCACTTCATTAGCCTTTGAAAGGAAACGGAACGGAAACATAACACATGTTCAAGACAGGATCATGTAATGCATATAAAGGAGAAGTGGAATCTACATTAGAGAAAGATTCCTTTGATACGTACGAACATGTTATGTAGGCGAATTTTTTTTCAGAAAATCGGGTAATAGCTAAATCCTTTTCTGACAACAAGAGATAGAGGATTGGATAATTCAGCTGTACGAATGTTTGAAATGTATACGAGTAATAAATTTAGAGTGGATGAAAGTATTTAGATTGTTGTAGAGATAAAAATTTAATCTATGGTGAGAAGAGAAATAGAAAACGAAAACACTAACGTATATTTGTCCCGTGTCGGCAATGACTAGTTTCGAGCCCATATCAGCCCTTCATCGGGTATTGTAACAGATTTTAAATTTTAATCTAAATTAATCTGAACTGATATATTTTTTTACGGTAGTAATTTTGAAAATACAAAAAACTAACTTGATTTTATCCTTATTAGGTTTTATTTAAACTTTTTTCTACTGTTTTTTTCTATAATATTTACACTAAAAGGTTAAAAAATGTTAGGCTTTTTGGAAAACAAGAGAATCTCAGTATAAAGAGGTCCAATGTAATCAGATTTTACGGACGAGCTTTTTGCGTGGGTTGGGTAAAGCATCGCATCGTGCATCGTAACCAAGTTATCGAGTTTGATGTATCACTACTATAATATGTAGGCATTTTATATATAATACTTTTTATTAGTTTATTCATGGCTAATCTTACTAATATTATAAATGCGAATGTTTAGATGGATGTTTGTTTGAAGGTATCTCCAGAACGGCTGCATGGATCTCGTTGAAATTTCGCATGGATGCATATAACGTTTGTTTTTAATTCCATGCGGACGGAGTTGCGGGCGTCAGCTAGTTTAAGAAATATTCTGACATTTTATTATACGCTATTCATATTGATGCTAAAACCGCTTTACTGTAACATGAATTTTCAATATAATACTAGGTAAAGGTAAAGCTGCTTTCTAAATGCATGCAGAAAATATTATTTTATATAAGTAGACCGATAGAAGCTTCGACAATACATAAAAGCTATTGATGTCTAAAGCAAAGGTGATGTGATTTTATATAGCATAAAATTTTATTACTTATTTTTAAAAATGAAAATAGATTTTGATAACTTCGAATTGTTCAGGTACCAACATATGATATTTTATGAGAATGTGTTTAAAAAAACTTATGAATAAGAACCATTATATTCAGATTCGCAGTTAGTAAAAACGTGAACATGTATTAGTCGATTTCAATGGACATGAGAAATTATATTCACACATTTATATTATGTCACTTTCTGACAATCTTCTATATTCTATGGATGTATTTATGAAGGTTTCAGTGTTTAAGTCGATGATACAAACATGTATGTTTTAAATGTGTCCTAGATTAGACTAACAAAGAGGAATTGTTTTTTTTTCTTTTTTTTTATAAAAATATTAGCAGATTTTTGTGTAAATTTATTAATATTACTTTAACCATTCCAAATAAGCTCTTAGCTTGTGCTAGGATGTGGTTTACGACAATAGTCGAATGGCGGGAATCGAACCCCCGACCTCGTGATCAGAAATCAGTACCCTTAACCATTAGGCTATTGACGCTTTTGTGAAGATATGTTTGTTATAATTTTTCATTTTCATTGAAATCGAGTATACAATGAAATCTTTTATATAAATAGTTAAATCAATATAGTATCCAGTTATTCCAGGTTCTTGGTCTTTGCTGCCCAACGGTGCAATAAATTCGTATTAGTGTAACTGGTGGAAGGAGCAGGTGCGAGGGTTTATTGCCTTATTTATCGAGTGTGTGACCTACTATGCAACATTGAAAGTGTTAGTTTTTATTTTGTTTTCAGTAGCAATTGTTTCTATAAAAGCTCCTACAATGTACAGTCGAGGTCGTTTATTTCCTACCCATTTCGATGATAGTCATCTGACGTTGAAAACCTAATTAGGTTGAAAAATTGTCATAGATGTGAGCTAAATCATTGCTCTTAAGATCTTTGTATACTAGATAGCGTAAGTTTTCGAAAGCCAGCGATTTTAGTCGCTAAGCGACTTACGCAATCCAATGTCGTAGATGCTCGAACACATCAAGCATCGCTGATAATTCTTTCCATCATCGACAAGGAGAGTCGCTAGCAACCTGTTTGTAATTTCGATTTTCAAGATGGTGGAGAAAATCTATATAGTTGACATGTAGCGCTATGTCCGAGCTGAATAGACGACTCGTGTCAACGATTCAACATTGCGTGTACGCAGCGCGCAAGGATACAATATTAGTTTCGTTTGAGATGTTACGATCCGCCTATTCACTATATTGGTAAATTTATTTTAATACTATTCAAAATACCTATGTATAGAATACTGCCACAAACAAATCTAAATTTCTTATACAAAGCAACAAAGAATGCGTTGGCGAAAGAGAATATTTTATAAAAGAACTTTCTAGTTAACATTTGCTTATTAAAATGTATTACATTCTTGCACTTTAAGTAATTTATTGCACTTGGAAAATGCAATGACGGTGTCCTTCTGTGACCTTAACTGCTCTCAAGAATAAGAGAAGATATATTTTCCCTTTGTGCTGGTTTCCACATAACATTGGCAGTTCTATCTACTGATTTGTTGTTCTAGTCTGTATTAAAATATATTTTGGAATGGAATAGTTTATAGCTGATCCCAGTAGATGGCACTGCCAGTAAGTTCGAGTAGCTTTATACTGTAGAATCTATATACATATCTAAATAACAATTACTGTTCTTTAGTCTCGCTAAAGCTCGAGAACGGATGAACAGATTTATCTTATCTTGGTCTTGACGTGGACGTTTCGGGAAGGTTTAAAAGGTGAGAAATTTCGAATCATTGCCAGGAACTATTTAAGTTTTATTTCATTCAACGCGGTCGGAGTCGCGGGCGACAACTAGTATACTACAAATAATTTTCTACTCGCGTGAACTTTGTCATTTAAAAGATTAGGAGAGGTCGTGGAATTCAGAATAGCAAAGTTTTAGTTGGCTATACGTGTTACTTAAGTTTCGAAACGAGAAATGTTACTATTTTTATTTTTTAATTCAATTGTTAATTCAAAAGGTCACCTTGTCCGCTTTAAAAATAAGGATGTTTTAAAATGTTATTTACATAGGAATTCTAAATGTGAAGGAATAATAGAAAAGTTTTTAAACATGCCTTATACTTATTCTTTGCATTTTTTGTTATATGTATGTACATCATTATAGATTTATAACATCTTTCGTTATTGCAATAGTAAAAGTAATTGAACTATTGCAAATTTACACTTCAAAATCATTCCACTGAAACAATGTGCGACGAAGTTGGCAATTTGAATTCAAAATGTTATTTCACGCGTTGGATAAAAATTAATACGTGTCTATCGATATAAAAAATCATTAAGTTTAACGGTAACAGTTTTCAATATAAAATTATGATATTTTCATGATATACCTGAAAAATATATGAATATTTTTCAGGTATTGGTATTATAACGTAATAAGTATACCTACAGTTTTATATTCTGATTAACAATGAACTTTGAAGACATATCAATATATCTATGTCAAAAATTAAATGTGAAACGAGTGATACAGCGACAGAGTTTATTATATTTAGTACGCAAAGTATTGCTTAATTACATGATTTCAAAAAATAAAAAGGAAATTAAAATGTAATTAATCTTTATCGAAAAGAATCGGTGGATTGTGGATTCGTTTGGACAAAAATACAATACAATAAAGATTTATTTCCGTTTTCTTAAAGCTTTTCCCCTCCGATAATTACGACGGTGAAAATCTTTTATTTAAAAGACGAAGAGTCGTTGTTTTATCAAAATAATATTTATTTATACGTTCTTAAATAATAAAAAATATCATAGCTTACTTACTATGTTGATGTTTGTTAGAAGGTATCTCCAGAACTGCTGTATGGATCTTGAGGAATTTGGCATGGAGAACATTACCTGGAAGGACACAAAAGTTACTAATTATTTTTTTGTTTTTTATTACACATGGACGGAATCGCGGGCGGCAGTTAGTCGATGTATGTCAGGGAATATCAATTTTAATGACGCTAATTATTTTATTAGAATGCCAACATATCGAAAGTGTCAATAGACTAAACTTATATTGGTGGTTAATTTATTTATTAATTTCATTGGTACGAAGCGGTGGATGGATGAAGGCGTTGAATGACACTTCTTGCCGACAGTGCGCGTGGTCATTTGACAAGTGATAGGCTTGGTCTGGAGACGGCCGAACCGGAGCCTGCGCCGGTGTGCGCACTGAGTTAAGCGGAGTCGGATGGTAATATCGACCACTTAATTAGTAAATCTGTCAGAAATCTTCGACATGTATAAATGATTTAAATCGATAATAATTAGATAGTCTAACTCAATGGTGATAATAAATTACTCAAGGAAGAGGAGAATTAGAGAATTCCTAAAATTTATACAGTATTTCTAACGAATAAAGTAAAAAAATCAATGTTAAAAAACATCTCCTGTTAAATATTTACGTAAATTTACTTTTCTACAATCGTTTAAATGTAAGAGCAAAAGCAAGCAGTGTGAAGAATATCGGTAAATATTAATCTGGTAAGAGGCGTCAACTTTGAACTGCGATTCAACATTGAACATTTTTTTCTATTTATGTAAATACAAATCAGATTTTTAAAGAACATAAAGCAGTTTACCGCAATTGGTTTTGTGAACCTGAACACGTAAAACTTTTTTTAAGCCATTGTGGTTTAAACCGCAAAACCCTATTTGAAATTGAATGAATGTATTCGGAAAAACAGTTTATTTAACTGTATTCCGAAAAATAATGGAACAAAATATTGAAATTTCGTAAACAGTCTTTAAGCGAAGTTTGTTTACTTATCGTTTACTGCGGGCGAATGTTTTATGAGATTTCCCTTGGCGGCCCTTATGATCCTACGACTCTTGTTTGATCTTAAGCGAGGGATGTTGCCTTTAAGGAAATGAATCCATAATATTTATACTACCCAAAACAAATACCTTAGGATTAAATAACCCCAAGCTACAGTAATCTTCAAAAGTAGAAAACCAATTATATATAATAAAAACTAGCTATCGCCCGCGACTTGGTCCGCGTGGAATTAAAAAAAAATAATGGTCGCAGCGTAATCTTACATAGCCTAAAACCTTCCTCTACAAATGGACTATCCAACAAAAAAAGAATTTATGAAATCGCTTTATAATATTATTATGGATATAAAATATAAAAATTTATGTAATCAAGGCAAAATGTTTCAAGAGTAATTTAAATAACTTGTACTAACTTAACATTTAATTTGAATTGCTAGAATAAGCGATAAAACCATAACTTGTTGTAAAAGTTTAGCTGTATCACTTGAGAATTTCCGCTGTGAACGCGAGCAAACGGAAATGTCAAGTTATATAACTTCATCTTATATCAGCTGCCAGATTTCTCTACTCTGTGTTAAAAATGGCCATATATTTTAAACGCATTCAACAATTTATAGTGAAAATTTTTAAAACATCAAGAAATATTTTCATGTTATCCGCCTCGGTAACTAATAGAAAATCAGTAAAATAATCTTATAAAGAATCTTACAGACGATACAATTAACGTTGCCAATAACTTGTGTTAGGAAAATATTATACAGATAATATTACGCAATGTTAAAACGTTCTACCACTTTTAAGAAAATTGGGCGGACAAAGTACGTGAATATGAAAGCGGAGAATTTTATAAAGATATTTTTAATTAAAAAAAAAAAACAAATTGTTTGATTAAGAAGTACGGTTGAATTTTAATTACTACTAGTACCACTTATATTATGCAAACATTGGCCTGTTTCTTTCGCTCATGTTATAGGGGGCACGCAGTGCCTACATTGAACATTTTGTTGCAGGACTCAACAGATGATTAGAGATGTTAAACCTGTCACCATCAAGTTATCGGAACGTTGATGAAGAGCAACGGACCCTGAGCAGGAAAGAGGTTTATCCTAGAAGACTTTGGTATGCTCCAAAAGTTAAGACGATCGATGATATAAAAGACGACAGCTATAGTGGTAAGTCGTGCCAAATTTCGGATTTTTTTAAAATGATTTAATGAGATGCAAACGAGCGATGAGAACATCAAAGTGATCATAGACGCCTATGGAAAGCAACACCAAATAAAAGAACATATATGTAGTTCCGAAACGCGGTTGTATAAAGCAGGAAATTGCGTGAGAATCATTTTTGAATGCCAGCCCTCCATTTACTAAGTTATTGGATCAAAATCATGCTATGCGGCTCATAATAGAATGATTTGGCTAATACAAAAAGGTGTTAAATCCTTTAAGTTTATCAATTGGCCGCAGTATGTTGGGCTGCAGAATTAAGTTGTTATTTTATACTTTTAATGTGTACGGTATAAATTAGGCACCGTATTTTTTAAAAGAAATAATAAACCTATTTGTAATTTTGACCCAGGTTACGAGACCGACGACACGGTTCCTAACGTCGACTTTTACGACAGAGATTATGAAGAGCCAATAAACTCTCCGAACGTTGACATCCTTAGTCAGTTGGAGACTGAGGCGCCTCAGCCTAAATACGAACAAGCGCCTACCGCTAGCTCAGTAGCCGAGTTCTCTATTGCCAATGCTATTAATTTGAGAGGTAAGTTCATAGTTAACATATAAAAAAAAAACTTTAAATCTTTGAGTTCAAAGTTTAAAAAAAAAATTAAGAATTGTTCTTTGTAGCTACAGTATGTTTTTTGTTTTTAAAATTATATTACCTTTTCGTACTTTCGTTATTAAAGTGGGGTAAGATTATAAGGTAAAATGTTCTTTCTATATCTTTTTATTGCAGACTAGAGTCTACAATTATGAACTAAAAAAGTGACTACCAAAGTAAAATTATAGATTAGCCAAATAATAATTACTAACAAAGTATTAATTTTATTACACTTGTTTCGTTCACATTTCAAAATTTACTTGTCGTACTATTAAAATTATTTTTACAACATGATTCATGTATCGTGTTTTATGACACATTTATTTTCCTAGACTCCGCAACATTAATGAGGGTTATAAAATTGTTAATGGCGTCATATCATATATTCATAACCTACTCATAACATATTATGTTAAAAGCTATTATATTTAACGGATTTGTTATAACCGATGACACCTATACCGATGACACCTGTGTTTACAAGTCTGGTCGTAAGCCCGAAGCTATATGTCGACGCCTTCAGACCACAGCCTCAGACTTCTTGGTGCCTGGTTTCAAAAATGGAGGATCGAAATAAACCCTACCAAAAGCGCGGCTCTCTATGGAGCGTCCGCCGAAGCGACCTTAGAGCTCGGCGGCCTCCCAATCCGGTAATAAAACGAGGTTTCGGCTAAGTGCCATCTGCGCTCGGCCACCTCAAGCCAAACAGTGGCAATACAGTCACAAAACAAAGGATTTGTTATAATAATAATAATAATTTGTGTGATATATTAACTAGTAAAAAGCGCCACCTAGTCAAAACCACACAAGTGCGGAGGATTCGCGAAAACAATCTTGTCATAATTAGTAAAATAAAAATGTAAAAAAATATAATTATCTTTGAATGCAAAGATTAATAATATAGATTCTATTTATTATCTATAATTGAACTTTTATTTTATTTTATTATAGATAACACATCTAGAAATAAATTGAAATGACTGTACCAAAGCACAAATCTTAAAAAATAATATTTTCTAAGTAAAATGTACCTAAAAAAGATTTTGGTATAGTATTAAGCTGCCTTCGCTCACCATGATTATATTGTTTAAATAATATTATGGAATCTATCAAACGTTCTTACTTAGTAATTCGATATACAAAAACACTGAAACTAAGAAATAACAATTAACATATCAAAAGCTATTTAACTTAAAGTAAATATTCGTAAATGAAAATAAACTTATACTTGTTTAACTGACATTAACGTATTCAATAGTTGGTAAACAGTCGTTAAAGTTGTACGTTTGAATATATTTGTCTATTCAAGATAACTAAGGGTTGAACATAAATAACAAATACTCTAAAATCTAGATAAAACAATATTTATCTAGTCTCAATAAGACGTACACGTTATTGTATTATGTTTTGGTTATTCATAGAAGAGGTATCGAAAAATTCGTTATACGATCGTACAACTATGATGTATTCGATGGCTTTGATTAAATTTATGTTAAAGACAATGTTTCCTTTAGCTATATGTGATGGAAAATATCGTCTCTCTTTGAAATAATTGTAATAATATTATATTTAACCACAAGTACGAGTTAATCATATCACTTTATGAAGTAACTAGCTGTTGCCTACGACTACGTCCGCGGAATAAAAAAAACTTTATTAGTACCCTATGTATTCTTCCAGACTACACACAGACACTAGACTCTATGTGTGCAAAATATAATATCATCAAGATCAAGTAAGCTGTTTCGGACCTGTTACCATCAAACAACCATCCATTCATCCATCTAAATATATAAGATTTTATTCATAAATTCCAAATGCACGTTTTTGGAGACGCAAAAATAAATTCTGGCAAAAAAAACAACCTCTTATTCGAACATATTTGATAAATTGTTTCTTTTCAGAGGCTGTATTGGTGGCCCTTGGTGGAGCGAGTGCTGCGTTAGTTCTCTTGATAGTCATGGCGGGTGTGTTCGTGGCCCGTCGACGCAAGAACAGCCCCTCCCCCGTGCCATCGCCCCCCATTCTAGTCTACCCACCCCATGACGTAACGACCCCATGTTACACGTGAGTATAATAAATGTCATAATTTAACACCGGTGTACGCTAAATCAATATGTCTTAATTTAGTTGATGCTATTTTTTTCTGACAGTGATGATTAAATATTTTTAGTAAGGTATGATACGTATTTTTATTTAGCAATATTTTAGAATCATTTTTAGCATCACTAATGTTCGGTAGGTGTTTATTACTGTAAAAAAAAAAGTTGTGACTAAATATGAAAATGCTAAACCAATGAAATAGACTGGACAGAAGTATTTACAATGGTATCCAACAAGCATTAATACATCATAAATAAAAAACTTTGTCTCATTACTGCATTTAAAATCCTACGCCTACTCAATTCAATAGCAAAATGCCGTGGGCGAATCAAAAATTCACAATAGCTTTGTAGAATGATGCCTACGTCACTACGCTTTCAAACGTCACACCAAGGTATACGAGAATAGGTCTTTAAAAGCTAGTAATTTTATTATGTTTACCCTTTGTGAAGGAAGCAGGGTTTAATAGACAATTTGACGTAGTTTATATTAAATTTGAGCTTCCTATCAATATACAATGATACAAAATCAATGTTCATTACTCACGATCAGTTGCTTTTCTTAACAACTATCATACATTTACGGAATATTCATTGATAATTCGAAGGAACTACAACCCCTTTCTTGCTGACAATCAAACCAATAATAACCTAATGTAATTTATATAACAAAAATTACGTAGCTTGCGTTTCTACTTAAAATAAAGATGAGGGAAAAGTATGGAAATGAGAAGGAATAATTTTTTTTGCATTATCTTAAAAGTGGAATGTTTATCTTTCCGCTTTACTCAAGGAAGGAGCAGCTTAGAGATAATAGAAATAATTCTTAGGACGAAGGAGGTAAACTTTTCGCTGCCCTCTCTGCGGTCGACATCCCTGGGGGAGCTGCGTGACGTCAGTGGCAGCCTGCCCGGCGACGTGCTCTGCCCGCCCACGCCTACGCAGTTCCGATCGAATTCTTTCAGTAAGTTATTGTAACAGATTTGTCGTAAGCTAAGATAAAGTTTTTATTACCCATTTGAATGGATTTTATCTTGAAATACGAACATCGTTTTATGATGTTTTAAAGCATACTGGATTTTAGATTTCGAACTGCAGTAATTTGGTACTTGTCAGTATACTTTGCAAGACAAATCGTGCACTTTATTATTTAATTAAACTGAAATTTTTTATATGCAGACAATGTTAAGTATATTTATTGAATTTCCTTATATTCTATTTTTTATGTAAATACCAATGATTAGTACATAAAGAATAGAATATAAGTGTAGTAGGTTTGATATTGAAAATCACTTTAATATATTTTTTTCCTAACCAAACCTATAAAGCTATGTATAGTCTTTGAAATTCCCAAATGCATTTCTTCGTGCCATACGCTCTGATCCGATCTTAATTAAATACCAGTCTTCCATTTAAATTTTACATTTCAATACAATTTAATTTTAAGAATTGCAAAAGTTATTTCCCGCTATTACACTCCTTGCATTCCTATGGGAGTTGTAAAACAAAATTGTTTCCTGTATGTATTAATCTACAAATTACTATGTATATCAAATGTAATCTATCAAATTAAATTTATTATGTACATACATAATTAACTGTTAATGAATAATGGATAGAATTCCGTTACCATTCAACCTGTTTGTTTATATATGTTGAAACTGTTGTCCTATTCAAATGCCATTTCGGATTTCCGGTTCAGTGGATCCGATTGTACATTTTGTTATACATATGTATATCTGACACAGACGTGTTCTATAAGGGCTTCACTAACCGTCTTCTTTCTGAGTCCCAAATGTCTGGTTTAAATATATTGTTATCTTTCTGTTGTCAAAGATAATGACAGGGACGATATATTTTATATAAAGTTTCTGGTGTCAGAACCTCACGGTAAGTGTGGACTTAATATGAGAAATTACGAGACAGTTTAACTAATAATTAAAGATTCGAAACCTTTTCTTAATCTATTAAGACCTGATTAAGTTATTTCAAAGAATTAACGACGTCTATTACAAGATTCATTAATAAAAAAGATTGGAAAAGTTGCTTTTGCATTTAATTTACTTACGTATATGAAATTAGCTCTAGTACGGTCATTACTTTTATAGATCCTTTGAGCTTAAGTTATTCCTTACACGAAAGGCACTCCTAGTTTGTCCGTCTGTATTAAAGTACCCGTAACGATATGATGGTTAATGAGGGATTTAGAAGAAAGGTTAGTGATATTTCAATTAAAAATGTTTGCTATTTTTTTTCGAAAGTGAATATTCTTTTAAATTACAAGAGTTTGAAACGAATGTGTAATTTGTTCATACATTAATCTGAGTACCACTAAGCTTGATGACTGCCACGCCTGTTTTTTGCTGTCGTGTCTACTACCTAATTATTTCAGTACTATTACTATCCATACTTATAGCTATTCAATCAGCAAAATAATGTAAAAAATATTCTTAAGTTCTAGTTGTTAGTCTAGCACAATGGTATAGTGGAACAAATAATATCAGCAGCGTCTTAAGAACTCACTCAGAGCTATTTACTATAAAAAGCATACTTAGTAAGCGTTAAGCTCAGGGTTCCGCATAAGTAAATGGCATCATTTGAACACATGTTCAAGGTTTAAATAAAGTGTAAAAGGTATACACAAGTTGTGTGTAAATGGATCGAAAATTTAAATAAGTTTATTGTTGCAGCGAATACAACAGAACTAGGAGTGTTGGACCCTTCGCTCTACAAGTCTGACTGTCTGGATGTCGATCACATGTGGCCGGAGGGACATGTGGTAAATAATAAGTTGATATCTAAAAATCTAATATTCTAGCTTTATCAATAACTAAGTTACGAGGTTGATAAAAGTTCCTTAAGTCTTAGAATAAAAAGTCTAGATCAGATTTCTGGTAGTCTTAGTATTATAGAAAAAAAATTAAAACAAAAATGTTGTTACATTACTAGTTATTTTTTCATCAGGGTCGAGTATGGTTCACCGTGAAATACGAATCGGCCACCGAAAGGTTTCAAGTTCACATAATTAAAGCGAAACATTTGCCATCGCGCACTCCGGCATTGGCCAACGCATGTGACCCTTACATAAAGTAAGTAACGCAAGGTCAAGTGTAAACGAGTACTTGTGCAGCATAAATATTATTTGCGACTTTCCCTTATGAGTTGAACCTTAACTACTTCATTTATTTTATCAAACGCATTTTGTCGCATGAAAATTCACACAGTTAACTACTAATTGAACTGTACACTTTGAAAAAGGTCAACACTTTTACTGATTTTATTTTTGAATGCATTTAATAAGTCAACTTTTAAACTGTGATTTTATGATACGAAAATTGTTTATATCGTCAATTTGAGTATTAATATTATCCTTTAGGATACAACTGATGCCAGACGAAAGACGTGTACTTCAGACAAAACAAAAGAAAAAATCATGCAATCCGTTTTTCGACGAAACTTTTATTTATCATGTGAGTTGAGATATTTTTTATACCTAAATATAGATATTAATAATTAGATTTTCTAATAAACATAGAGAGATATTAATCTCATAATTGTGTTAAAATACTAAATTAATACTATTCTTGGTCTAAAAGACCAAAGCAAATGATTTTAATGCCAACATTTCCAAATATAAGTAACTAAAATAAGCTTTAATTTAAACAGATACCACCAGGAAAATTGGATACACTTACCTTAAAGTTATCAGTGCTGGACGCGGGCCGCATCGGTAGATTCAAACAGCTTATTGGCCACATCATTTTGCCGCTCAGCGAACTTGAAGGCGTTGCATCTGACGAAGAACCGCAATTATACAAATTGGACATTGAAAAGGTATACGAGAAAATCTATATATATAAAAGAAAGTCGTGTTAGTTACACTATTTATAACTCAAGAACGGCTTTACAGACATGGTTAAAAAATTGGCGAGGAGATAGCTTAGAGCCAGGAGACGGACATAACATACTATTTACTATTTTTTTCGAGTTTATGCCTTTTTATTTAACTTACTAATATTATAAATGCGAATGTTTAGATGGATATGATGTGAATGGATGGATAGGTGGGCTACACTCATTAAGTTTTTTACATATCCACGCGGACGGAGTCGCGGGCGACAGCTAGTATTTACCTAAAAACAGCACAACAAAACACTTACTTTAGATACTAATTGCCGTTTAATACCTTAAATTAATCTACACTAAACACACATTTTATATTAACACAATAAAACACACAACCGTCTTGTTACTATTTTCAACGAAATAAGAATTACAATCTTACAATTATTGAACTACCCTCAGATATAATAATACGCCAATAAATCAATTAAAAAAAAATTACCAAAATACATTAGTACTATGGATCCTAAATTGTATTACATTGAATTCAAGTCACGTAATTGCATTACAAAAATATCTAAATAAGCTTTATAGTTGATCTGTCAGGTGATACTAGAATAGCAAACGCTTTGCGGCCATCTGTGCGAACTGACCTAGTTCCGTTCGTTTAACATTGGAATAAATAGTGAAGCCACTGCGAGATGAGATCTGCAAAGGTGACATTTGCTTTGGACTACCACGATTATATATATTGATAATGATGGATTAAAAGATTGACATAAGTTTATTTTATTATTCTATAATTTAAAAAAATTATAACTCGTAAAAAGTAAAAGTCTGTGATATTTTCTTTTATGGCTAACAAAATTAATTTTACGAATTGTTGTAGGAATTGCAAGAACCAACTTCAGACTTGGGAGAGATTTTAGTGTCGTTGGCTTACAATGAAAACTTAAACCGTCTTTCTGTTACTGTAATTGAAGCACGCGGATTGAAGGTATTTTTATTTTAATTACATTTACACTCTGTAATAATATGTTAATTTTAATTTGTGTCTACTACGTATGTCCATGTTCAATTGAAATCTCCTATAGCTTTAACGTTTTGATCGATTTTTCCGAGTGAGGTCATTACGTACATTTTAGTATCAGTCAGTTGGGTCTATTTGTTTCTTTTTTTATCAAAAACTACTTCATTTGATCATTTACCTGATTGTAATATCATTGTGAAGCTGGATCCATCATCATCACGACGCGAGGTAGTGGCGAGAGTAACGCAGGAGCGAGCTTGTCGTGGTGTGCGTGCGCGCCGCACAGCTGCCGTCGAAGTATCGGAAGAGGGCGCTGCCGTCATCGCCGAATGCTTCCACTTCAGACTGAGTGCGGATGAGTTGCACACCACTTGCGTTACTGTGCAAGCTTTGCAGCCACACTCTGTGTACGCTAAAGGTAACGTAGTTTAAAATTAGTGATACGAGATAAAAGTTTTATTCAAGACTCAAATGTGAAGAATTATCTTGATTTCATTATAAAATTAGACATATTTGAATCAATGAACATAAATTATATAGTAATTTAATTTGAAATTATGTAACTAAGTATTACTTATTTTATTAGGCTTTTTTATTTCGAATGAAAATAATAAAAAATAATTCTTCCCTTGATCAAATTCTACAGCTATAAACGAGGTTATGAGGGTTTAAACAATTAATTTTGTTTCAGATCGATTACTAGGGAAATTTGTATTAGGTTCGTATATGTTCGCAAGAGGACGTGCGCTACAGCATTGGAATTCAGCTCTTGCCAGTCCTATGGAACAAGTGAAACATTGGCATCCATTGACAAACTAAGCCCGACGACTTATGCCAAATTTACATCTAATATAGCATTTAATCTACTATATTTATATGTAAAAATACTTTATATATCTCAAGTCTTTTAAAATTATATTTACCAACACCCGAGTCTTACAAGCACTTTAAAATATCAATATTCTATCAACATATTCGACTTCGCTTACCATTTTAAATATTTTATGACGTATATACTAAGAAAATATTGAAATTATTTTACTGTTTTATGTAAATATTTCACATTTTACAAATAGTTAGACCCTTCATATTTTTATATAACCTATTCAAAGAATATTTAAGTAGTTTTACAGCTTAAGCAAATTTTAAACATGGTATGTTTTTATTTTGTATACATATGTATCTTGCATGTTATATACAATTATATTTATCTAAATAATTTAATTGCAGTAAAGTTAACATAACAACGCTGTAGCTGTTTAAATGAATATAATTCAAATATCAATTTCAGAATAACATAACTTATCAATATTAAAATATAATCTATATCTTAAATACATTATATATTCTATAAATTATATGTACTTAGTATTATATAATTATTATAAATATGAAGCAAATATAAAATGTGTAACGCCAAATTGGTGGTATATTGTGGTTTTATTTTAAGCAAAATCTTTTATTATAGTAGATATTCAAACGCAGCCGTAACAAATTACAGGGAGCTACGATTGATTTGCCTGCTTTCAACCTTTATATTCTAACAGTAAGTCTTCTGTCCTGTAATTATAGTTGTACTAACGTCTAACAAAGTAGCTTATAACTTTTGCCTGTGACTTCGTCTTCGCAGAATTATAAAAAAAGGTTTGTTACTCAAGTCTATATTCTATGTCTGTACCAAATTTCAATATGATGTGTTGAACCGTTGTAGAGTTATTGCGTAAATATATAAATCAATTGTATCCCACGAGAACACTAATCCGAATCATTTTAGCCTATGTGTTCTTTCAGACAGTTTAACATCTATGCCAAATTTCACCGAGATCCATGAAGCCGTTCTGGAGATATTTTCGAACAACCATCCATCCAAACATTCGCATTTATAATATTAGTAAGACAATTCTAGCAGTTTCAAGTCATCAATCAATAACAGACAACAATGATTAGAAACTCTTTCATTGTCAAGTATTCAACAGACAGTAATATAAAGAAACTAGCGGACCCGACAGACGTTGTACTGTCTACACGTCTTTAATTTGAATAAATTAATATGAATTTAATATTTGATGAAAATTGTGAATCTAAACCATTCCCAGATCCCCTTGAACACACTCAAAAAATTTCATCAAAATCGGTCCAGTCGTTTGAGAGAAGTTCAGTGACATACACACTCACAGAAGAATTATATATAAAGATATATCATAAATTATTTGTGTTAAATATAGTACTAACCTTAAATCAAGGGCGATATGACCTTACGAAGCACAATCATGCAATACATGCTACTATGCTTTTAAGTTGAATATGATGAGAGTTACCAGCCCCGATTCGAAGTATTAAGTAAGCTTTGATTACTAAAGGCAAGCGTTCGTTGGCACGCGCTGGAGGCACGTACAACCATAAACGGATTTTATTGCTTTGTATGATTTAACATAGCCCTGCATCCATCATCCGTGCCGCCCTCATCGAAACAAAGCAAATCTGCGGGCCAATGGACGCGTACCTTAAGAATAACTTTCGCGACAGTTCGACATTGTATTAAGTTCTTTATCCTGTTAATTCTTTAGTAATAACAAATGCCAATTTTCATTAAGCCAATAAACAAACATTCAGGTCAAAAAAGTCATACAAAAAGTCAACTGAAAAGTTAACTTATTTGATAAATAATTTATGAGAATTTTTTCTTGCTATTTATGAAAATGTCGCCTCTATTAATAAGTTATTGTTAACTATTTAAATACGATATCAAAATAAAAAAAGGTCAAGGGTAGAGGAATGATTAGGGATATACGACTGTAAAAGCATTTGTGTTTGCGTTACTATCCATTAGTAAATTAAAAAGATAAAAGATAAACAAAATATTTAGTACAGATAAAGATTCCCGGCATCACCTGTAAAAACAACTAGTAAAAATTCTATTTTTAAAATCTAATGATGAATTATTATAAAATCATTTCAATAGTAAAATGCTTATATTACTAACATTATAAATGTGAATGGTTGGATGGATATTTGTTTGAAGGTATCTCCAGAACAGCTGCATGGATCTTGATGAAATTTGGCACAGACGTAAAACATCTTACTTATTAAGTTTATATTTTTAATTTCCGCATGGACGGAGTCAAGGGCGACAGGTAGTAGTCAAAATTAACCTAAAACTCTTCGTTTAATGTAAAACTTCATTAAGTAATAAACATTACCAGCCCATTAGGGTGGGTTGGTCATATTTGTTTTAAATATTCATATCATAAACATAGTGTTTAATGTATGACAACGGTTAATTTCAAATAAGCTTTTATCGTTAAAACGCGGTTGCGGTGAAATCTAACCACCGTTATAATGTCAATATGACGTACATCATTAATTTATCTAGCGCAATATAACATTGAGCTTGTTATTAATTGTTATTGTCCCCTTTTAGTACCTAAATACTAATCATATAGATAAAAATTTGTTAAATCTTACGTATTGTTACGTATCTCTCATGATTCAGATTAATTTAATTTAGACTTTGATTAAAATGACTAAAATATATTGCTTATCTAAGCTTTATAGTGCGTCTACAAGTCCTGGGTTCGAATCCCGCCATGTACCAATGTGTTTTTCGATTTCCGATTTACATATGTACATTTATCTGACGTTCTTACGATGAAGGAAAACATCGTGATGCAACCTGCACATATTTGAGAAGAAATTTAAAGGTATGAAGTCAACCAACCCGCACTGGGCCAACGTGGTTGACTATGGCCTAGTCACAGCTAACTTAGGGTAGGTTCCGAGCCTCTCAGTGGGGACGTATAGTGAGCTGACGATGATATTGCTTACTAGCTGTCGCCTGCTACTCCGTCCATGCGGAATTAAAAATAATCTCAATTAGTAGTTTATGTGTCCTTCCAGATGTTCTATATCTATGCCAAGTTTTAGCTAGATTCATGCTGCCGTTCTGTAAAGACCTTCTAACAGACATCTATCCATCCAAATCTTCTCATTTATGATATTGGTAAGAACAATAAAATTTGAATGTAAAAAAACTGTAAGTTATTTTATACACATTCAGTTTTTATATAAATAATCTAGATATTAGACGATGAAATATATATTTTGTTAGGAATACCATAACAGAGTCTAACGAATTTAAAGTTAGCAAATTGTATTCATAACATAACTTCTTCTAGATCCCCTAAATCTTAGTAAACCTTGAAAACTTTTAACGCATCAGAGAATTGAGAAATTACAAACAAATCCCAAATTTCTAAGGGACGCCTCAATTTGATGTTAATATTTGATTTGCGGATCGTAACAAGCTCGGGATGTTTACTGTCAACTGAGATTCAATATCACTTCGACCCTAAATGTTTCGTAGAGGTCACATTACA